AGTGTTATTATTTCCATTTTATAGATAAGGAAAAGGAAGCACAGAGAAGTTAAGAAAGAAAGATCACTACTGTATAACTTTTCAAGTCAAGGTTCAAATAAATTCAGGCAATTTGGTCCCAGAAACTTAACTCTTCTTTCTCTTTACTTTTGTTTTTCTATTTTGCAGTGCTGGAGATGAAACCTAGGTCTCCAGTAAAATTAGATGAATGTTCTACCATTGACCTACACCTTCAGCCCAGAAATTAACTCTTAATCACTACCTAGAACTGAACCACAATACAGTGTCTCTCAGAGCACAGAAAGATTTAGGGATCCTAGAGGCCTGAAAGGCTGGAGTAAGGATGGGATAGATTTGGAATGGGCTCTCTGGAATATGATATCTCATCAAACTGAGACTCCTATGATGTTAAAGAATGATACGGACCCAAGATTACCTAGATCATCTCCCATTGTTCTCAGGGACTGCTGTGAGAATTTACAGATACTAACAGATCTGGCTAAGCAGGTAAAAGACTGTTCTGTGTCTGCATGTGAACTTGGCAGACCCCCAGGAACCCACCCCAAGGGTTGGTACCTCTTGAGGTTTATAGGAGTTTCAAGGACCCTTCGCCCACATTCCTCAGAATTCCTAAAGTGGGGGCCCTTCTATCCTGATGTCCTAGGATAGAATGAGCCTTTAAGCTGGAAGTGGGGCTTCTGACCTCACCTTCACTGTTTTCCAGGATATTGGGGGCAAAACCACCTTCATCACCCACATTTGTGGCATCCTTGCCATACTTGTCCTTGATGACCCCCTTAAGGGTATGGTAGACTTCTGCCCCAAGGCGCATGGCATCCCGAAAGCTCTCAGCACCCACTGGGAGGATCATGAACTCCTGCATGGCCAGCTTGTTTCCAGCATGAGAGCCACCATTGATCACATTGAAGGCCTAGGGAGCCACAGAAGATAGTCAAACAGCCCTTCCCCCCTGCCCCTGGGAATAATACCCAAGAACCCCAACTGACCCAGATCACCAGACTGAGTCTCATGTCCCCATGCCTTCTCATTAGCTTCTCCATTGTTTCTCATGAGGTTTCCCACTCCCTCCCTTCCACCCCTGAGAAAGGCGCAGGCAAAGTTCAGTGCTCACCGGCACAGGCAGGATGAGGTCTGAGTTCCCAGCCAGTTGAGCAATATGACGATATAGGGGCAATTCCCTCTCAGCTGCCCCTGCCTTACAAATGGCCAAGGATACACCCAGGATGGCATTGGCCCCATACTTGGCTGGGAGATTAAAGAAGAAGGCACTGAGAAAAATGTTCCTTTTTCTTCTAGCCCCGGACTTACCTATGTTCCCCAAAAAGAGCCAGGAAAAGAGACCCCCTCTCCTCTCCCCACCCCAGTGACATCCCATCCATTCTCTCCTGCAAAAGGCAGGGCAGAGGGAGGAAGTGGAAAGGAGGGTGATAGAAAGGGCAGAAAGCCACACCCCTTTTAAACTCCCCCAGACTATCTAGGCCAACTCCCTCCACTTTATGCTACAAAGAAATTCTTCTTCTGTCTAATGTTACTCCTTCCCACTGCAGTGGCTTTGGGAAAAAGATGGAAGAAGTCCTCTGATGGTCTCTGAAGAAGCCCCTCAGCAGAGACTCCTTTAGTTCCTATGTGTACTACTATTCCACCATTATGCCCACTTTCTCCCAGCCCCTACTTACATTTGTTCTCAGTCCCATCCAACTCCAGCATCAGGTTGTCCAGTTTCTCTTGCTCCATCACAGAGAGACCCTGTGGGCACAGCCCCCATTACGCATGGCCAGGATAGAGGCTGGGCCCTAGGGTAGAGGGTCCCCCCATTCACCCAGGCTCTCATCTGGCCAGCATCCAACCAGGTCTCTGTGACAGCAGCCTGCTAGCATTATGGGATATGAACTCCCATAGAAGCAGGGGACAATAAGAACCCTTTCCCACCCTTCCCCTTGTAACCATGTTTCCTAAAAAGTGGGTCTTTCCCTCCCCATCCTCCTCCCCATCCAGGATTCCTTCCAGGATACTGGTCCTGCCATCCCTAGCAAACAGCGGGCCTCACTGAGCTGATGAGAGCTGGTGCAATGGTGGTGTTGATATGATCCACTGCCTTCAGGACACCTAGGAAGAGGAAGAGAGGCTAGACTGGGTCAGAGTCAGGCCCTAGAAAATAGGAGGAGGGGAAGGCAAGCTAGGAAAGAGTTGGCGAGGGTGTGAGGTAAGGGTATAAGGCTGAGGAGTGGCAGAGCCTATAAAAGAGAAAGGGCCTCACCTTTGCCTAAGTAACGCTGTTTGTCCCCATCCCTCAACTCCAGAGCCTCATAGATGCCAGTGGAGGCTCCACTGGGGACTGCAGCCCGGAAAAGACCTGGAGAAGACACAGAATGAGGAGGGAGGGAGAAAGACACTATAGGGACAGGGATTCCTTCAGCCTTCAGTCCTGATCTTAAAATTCTGCTTGCTACATCCAGTCCTCTCCCCATACTGCTCCCTAACACTACACACACCCACCCACCCACACACAGCCAGCTGCACAAATAGTGGCTCCTCATCCACCCAACAGAGGCCCACAGGCACAAGTGGAAGTCACAGAAATGAAGCTATGCCAGGAAGCACACACCACACACACACACACACACACACACACACACACCTTCACCCACATTCCTCAGAATTCCTAAAGTGGGGGCCCTTCTATCCTGATGTCCTAGGATAGAATGAGCCTTTAAGCTGGAAGTGGGGCTGCATACAAGTAGATAGGTAGAGGCAGGGCATGTCGCACAGTAAACTAGAACACAAACCTGGCTCCCCTAGACAAGGAGGTTCAACCCCACAATCCAGCTTGGGAGCCTGGCTCAGGAACCCATTCCTTCAGGGTATCAGGGAAGGCCTCCCAACCCAGACCAGACCTAGTACATTACCTTTGGCAGTATGCAGATCCACTTCCACAGTGGGATTCCCACGGGAGTCCAGGATCTCCCGAGCCCAGATCTTCTCTATGGACATGATGGCTGGGATCTCCTAGGTTGAAAGGGAAGAAAGGAGAAGATAGGAGGCTTAGAGGGGTGGAGCCTCATATCAGTGGGCGGGGCCATAAGCTGGGAGGGATGAGAAAGAGGTTACTGCAGTGGCTGGGGGGGTGGGGAGGAGCTGGCTGCAGTCAGAGGCTATAGAAGAGGTACCCCCCTCCCGCCATAGAGAGAGGAGAAGGTCAATGCAGTGAGGAGGGGAGGTCACTGCAGACGGAGGCGGGGTGCGGAGGCGGGGTGCAATCAAAAAAGAAGATGGGGTAACTCCGCAGTGAATGGAGGAGGGACAAGACAGTGGTTCCCTCGCCCCTCGGCAGCTTCTCTGGCCGGTGGGGTTCCCCCAGATATCCCCAGAGCAGAATGGCTGCCAGGCTGGCATTTTTCCTCAGAGGAAGGAAGGTGGGTTGTCTGCGCAACCTCTCCTGAAAGAGTCCGCATCCTACCCATACTTAACACTCCAGGGTCCCAACCTCTCTCCCAAACGCGAGTCTCTCTTCCTGAGAAACGTGCAGTAGAGAAAGGGGGTGGGGGTGGGGCTCCAGTCCCTGGGGGTTGCAGCTGAGTGGGAAAGCATGAGACCAGATGGGGTAGTAGAGGCTAGGCCCACTCTCTCCCCATTCCCCAAATTCCCCACTCCTTCCATAGAGCTGAGAAAAGGAAATGTAAAAGGAGAGGGGCTACGTGGGAAAGGAGTGGGAGAGAGGGCAGTCTAGAGGAAGTCTGGGGGAGCTGAGGAAGGGTAAGGGAAGACATTTCCCCAACCGCAAAGCAAAAAAAAGACGTGTCAGAATAAAATGCACAAAGCGGAGACGCCGAACTTAAGAAACAAATCGGCTGGACACGAGGCGCGGGGAAAGAGGCAGGCAAGGGTGAAGAAACGCGCAGTTAGAAGCAGGTGCAGAGAGGCTAGTTCCTAAACGAGGGGGCGAAAACCTGAAAGCCAGAGAGGAGAGATCGGCGAAGGCGGGGGATGGAAGGCGCCAGGGAGCGCGGGTGAAGAGCAGGTGCGCAGCGCCACCGGCAGAGATGCACGAAGGACGAGGGAGGAGGAAGGGAACACGGACAGGGAAAGGGAGCCAGAGGGGCGCCGGCCCGACCAGGGCTTCACCTCGGAGCTGCAGACTCAGCTGGTGGCGATGGCAGTGGCGGTGGCGAAGGCGCAAAGAGAGCGGGAGTGGCAGCAGCAGAGGCGGCTGCGGCTCCCCAGCGAGGGCGGGGGGCGGCGCGGGGGGAGGCGCCTATAGGGCCGGGCCGGTGCATGTGACCCGGAGCCCCCGATGAGTCAGGAATTGCCGGCAAAGGCGCACGTACCAGCGCGGGTGGGGGATCGGTGGGGGTGGGGAGGTGAGAGAAGCAAACTGGGAGAGGCAGGGAAGACCCGCGACCTGCCCTGCTACGGACCGAGCACACGGGCGCTCACCAATGCTCCGATCCATTCTAAGGGTAAAAGCGCGGTCTCGCACCATAACCCAGCGGGTACTGAGTCCCACACTGACAGAGAAGCCCATGGCAGACTCAGTCTCTCATAAATCAAGTTAGACACAAGAGTATCAAAATGTCTATTTATTTGAAAACCAACGGAAGTGTCCCTAACACCCCTGCCTGCCTCCGCAGCACTTTTTTTTTTTAAATATTTATTTATTTTAGTTCTCGGCGGACACAACATCTTTGTTTGTATGTGGTGCTGAGGATCGAACCTGGGCTGCACGCATGCCAGGCGAGCGTGCTACCGCTTGAGCCACATCCCCAGCCCTCCGCAGCACTTTTCTCCAGCCAACCCTCCAAGCATAAGCATCCCCTGCTGCTTACCCAGACCTGCGTGAGGGCTGACCCCTGCCTAGGCTCCAAAGGGAGCTCAGGCCCACTAGAACACCTCACACTGCAACAGTGCCCAGGTGACCATCACTGAGCCTGGATTTCAGGCTGTGATGAATTCCCAGTTCTGGAGCAAAAGGAAGCATCCTGTCTTCCATGACAGTAGTATGAATGTAGTGGCCTGGGACTGGAGTGTTATCAGGTCTTGGGGCGGAGGTCATTGGTCTCCTGGAGGAAGAGAACAGAAGTAAAGCGTCCATCCCCACCTGAAGTGCCAGCTGCCTCACTTCCCTGGGCTCCTCTCAATCTCTTTCTGCCTCACCCTGCCCTCTTTTCTTCTCCTCACTCCTGTGTACTGTTATTTTTAGCTTTAGAGTTTTAGTGCAGGATCTTCCTCTCCTGCCTTCTCTCTCAGGCCCTGCTGCATTCCTCATGTTCTACCTACCACTCCCCATACCACTCCATGCCCCCAGATCTGTCCTTTCCTATGATCTTCACTCTATGCTAGTGTTGGCTGCTAACCAAGTCCTCTGCCTGCCACCCCCAGTTCTTCTCACCTATTCTTCTGACCTCTTATGTATCTCCTAGGCTTTTTATCAGCTCTCCCAGGCCCTCTGGTCCTTTCTCCTCACCTTTCTCCCCTAACTCTGGTCTCTTTGAGGGTCTTCCTTGCCTTAGCCCTTCCTTACCCACTGCCTTTTGCAGCACCTTCTCTTCCCCTCTCTGCCCAGCCCTTGGCATCTTCTTGCTGCCTCCCTGCCAGCATCCTTACTATCCTTGGAGGGTAGAAGAACCACTGCTAGACCAATGGCTGGTCCAGTTCCAAGTCATGCTCAGGCTCAGCTTCCTGCTCCTGTTCCTCCTTGATCCTCTGACGAATCTCATCAGCCTCAATCCGCTCTTCCTCCTCATAGAAATCCTTGTCCAGACGCTCCAGGTGTGCCATCTGTACCAGGGCCTCCTGACGGTAATCAGTCTCATCTGTAATTGGGTTCTCCAGCAACACCAGGGCTCGAAGCTTGGGCAGGTCCCGAAGCTTTGCCAGCTCTCCCAGGTCATTCACCATGTTGCCCCTGCAGGTGTGGTCAAGAGGGTTCATCCAGGAATAAGGGACTTTGGTTCCTTGCTGTTAGGAATGGGACCTCTGGAGGGAACTTCCCACCAGGCCTATTTTTCTTGAAACAGACTGTGAGGACAGGCCTGCTAAATGCTGCCAGATTTGCTGCAGAGATGCTGTCCAATCCCACTCCTGTCCTGCTTCTGCCCTTCCATGAATCTCTAAGTGCCATACTCTACTCTGTGATGTCTCGTCTTTATACTTTTGGAGGAGCAAAGCTAGGTCACACCCTGTCCTGTAGTTAAGGAGGAGTGGGCAAATGTCCGTATATTAACAGAACAGACTTTTTCTGTGTCAATCACACATCAAGATAGAAGGTAGGACCAAGTTCAGTAGAGAAGGAATAGGAGGGCTGGGGATGTACCTCATTGAAGGAGTGTTTGCCTAACATGCTTGAAGTCCTGGGTTTGATCCCCAGCAGCACACACACACACACACAAAGTATTAACTGTGAAGGGATGGAAAGTAGGTGCTGTGTTGATGCTCCCCACAAGAAGGAGCCTAGAGCTATGGGTGGGCCAGGCCTCCCAGTCTGAAGAACAAGTTTGGTTTCCTAATGTGCCTCACTGTGGGATACTCATATTTATTAAATATTTCAGCCGGATCTTTCTTCTCTCCTCTTTTCTTTTTTTCTTTGTACTGGGGATTGAATCCAGAGTACTTTACCACTGAGCTACATCCCCAACCATTTTTATTCTTTTTTTTTTTTAATTTAAAAAAAATCTTTTTTAGATCTAGATGGACACAACACAATGCCTTTATTTATATGTGGTGCTGAGGGATCAGCACCACATAAAAATAAAGGATCAAACCCAGGTCCCGCCCGTGCTAGGCGAGTGCTCTACCGCTGAGCCACAATCCCAGCCCCCACTTTTATTCTTTATTTTGAGACAGAGTCTCCCTAATTGCTTAGGGCTTCCCTAAGTTGCTGAGGCTGGCTTCCAATTTGCAATCCTCCTGCCTCAGCTTCCCAAGTGTGGGCCACTGCACCTAGCTGTTTCAGCCTGATCTTAGTGAATGTGCTAGGCCTCCTGCAGTGTTTCTCACTTGGATGGGTTGGAAGATGCCAGGGAGCAGAGCAGGTGCATTTTGTATTGAATATTCTGTTTAGCATCTCTGCCTCAGAAGCACCTTCCAGTGGTTTAGACAACATGTGCACCCCTTCCTCCACTTACCTCCAAACATACCCGATTAATAGTCACTAAGGAAGGGCCTATTACCCCTGTCTAGCCCATTAATAGGAAAACTCACATACACAAATGCACTCTAGCAGATCTATGTGGCAGAACTTATTAAGAAAAGATTGCTCCAGGGGTCAAAGGCAGGAATTGGGGTTTCAAGGCGCAACCACCTCTTCCTATTTGGATATTCTCTTTTTCTTGATTTCTTCTTTTTTTATATTTATTTTTTAGTTATAGGTAGGTACAATATCTTTATTATTTTATTTTTATGAGGGCACACTTGCTAGGCGAGCCCTCTACCACTGAGCCCAACTCCAGCTCTTGATTTCTTCTTATTGCCCAAGGATAGAGACAATTTCCTTACATCATTGCTTAAAGAAACACACATAAAATCCTCCAGGGCTTGAAAATATCTCTGAGTGGTAGAGTATGCTTAGCATGTGTGAGTTCCTGGGCCTGATCCCCAGCACCGCCCCCCCCCCAAAAAAAAAAAAAACGAAAGAAGCAAATGGTAGGAAAGGAAGAAATAAAAAATCTTTCATTAGATAAGAGTTGGTGAAAGAAAATCTCCAGACCCCAGCACCTTTCTACCTGGAGATTTTCTTTAAAATACTCCTCTCTTAAATTTGAACACATCTTGTGTTTAATATCAGTAAGGAAGCCATCCCTTACAGGTGGGCCAAGGCGAAGAGAGGCAGGAAATGGGGCCTAGGACATAGAGAAAGGAAGTGGGAATTCCTATAGAATAAGGCCAGGGGGTTGGGGGTATAGCTTAGTTGGTAGAGTGCTTGCCTGACATTTACAAGGTCTGGGTTCAATCTCCAGCACCACTAATAATAATAATAATAATAATAATAATAATAATAATAATACTGCTGCTGCCAGGAAAAGAGCTGGAGACAGATTGTGAGCCCCTGAAAATCAGAGACTATCTCTGATTCCTTTAGATGTTCCCAAAACACAACCAATACAAGGCCTGGCAATAGTATATTCTTATTAATTGTGTATTTAATTAATTAAGGAGTCAAGAGTTACCAGTTATAAATGGTCTTAGTGTTGGAATTAGAACCAAATGCAGAACTAAGTAAGAAAAGCAGGGGTGATGATCCAGAAGGATGAGGTGAGGACCTAGCTATGCGCTAGAAGGAGCCAGGGAAGAACACAGGCTCAAAATCCAGGTCAATGGCGACATAAGGGGAAGCTAGGGAGGAGGCACATACCTCAGGTTGAGGTACTGCAGTGATTTCATTTCCATGGAGAACCCATTCAAAGTTTCAATTTGATTGTCTCGGAGATGCAAGGTAGTGAGATTGCTTAGGTTCTCCAAGCCTTCAACCTTCTTCAGCAAGTTCTGGGCCTAGACAGCAGGATACAGTAAATGGATTAAGAAGAGAACAGGGATAGAGAAGAAAAGGAAGTCAGAAAGAGATGAAGCAAAAGAGGAAATTCAAGTGGTGGGGGGCTGTGGAAGAGTAATGAGGATGAATGAGTAGAGGATAATATAGAGAGTGAAGAAGTCCAGGAAAGGGCTTAAGGATATAACTCAGTGGTAGAATGCTTGCCTAACATGCAAGGCCCTGCTATGTCCTAGGCCCCATTTCCAGAACTGCAAAATGTTTTAAAAGAGCCAGGCATGGGGGCTGGAATTGTGGCTCAGTGGTAGAGCGCTTGCCTGGCATGTGCAAGGCCCTGAGTTCTATCCCCAGCACCACATAAAAATAAATAAATAAAATAAAGATATTGTGCCCAACAACAACTAAAAAAAAAAAAAAAAAGAGCCAGGCATGGTGGTGCACACCTATAATCCCAGCAACTCAGGAAGCTGAGGCAGGAGGACTGAGTTCAAAACCAGCCTCAGCAATTTAGTGAGATACTATGCAACTCAGTGAGACCCTGTCTCTAAATGAAATACAAAATAGGGCTATGGATGTGGCTCAGTGGTTGAGTGCCCCTGAGTCCAATCCCTGGTACCCCCCCAAAACAGTTTTTAAAGTATGCAGGAACCAGGTGTGGTGGACTCATGCCTGTAATCCCAGTAACTCAGGAGGCTAAGGCAGAAGGACTGAAAGTTCAAAGCCAGCCTCAGCAACTCAGTAAGGCACTAAGTAACTTAGTGAGACCCTGTCTCAAAATAAAAAATCGAAAGGGCTGGAGATGTGGCTAAGTGGTTAATCACCCTGGGTTCAATCCCCACTACCTGGTGGGGGTGGGGAGAAGTAAGCCAGGCACAGTGGTGCACACCTGTAATCCCAACAACTCAGAAGGCTGAGGCAGGAAGATCACAAATTTGAGGCCAGCCTCAGCAACCTAGTGAGAAAAATTTAAAAATAAAAAATAAATAGGGCAAAGGGCTGCGAATGTGCTCAGTTGGGTAGCACCCTGAGTTTAATCCGTGGTTTAAAAAAAAAAAAAAAAGACCTTATCTCAAAATAATAAAAAGGGTTGGGGCTGGGTTGAGGTTCAGTGATAGAGTGCTTGGGTTCGATCCTCAGCACCACATAAAAATAAACAAATAAAGATATTGTGTCCATCTACAACTAAAAATTTTTTTTAAATAATAATAATAATAATAATGGTTAAGGATGTAGCTCAGTGGTAGTGCCTGGATTCAATCCAATCCCCAGTATAAAATCTTTTTTTTTTGGAAGTCTAGGAGAAGCTGCCATCCCAGAGAAAGGTCAGCTGTAACTGCCTACCAGACATCCCACCAAAGCTACCTCTAATTAAGGAGGAGGAGATGCTTTAACCCATTCTCAGGCCCAGGAGTCCTATTCTTCCACTGAGAAGTGGCTATTGCACCATCCTAGAATGAAGAATCTCAAATCTAAAAACCTAACCATTTAAGGGGACTCTTTAGCCTGATATCTGTACTTCAGATATGGTACATTTTGCTGCTGCATTTTGCTGTATCAAAGCAAATTATTATTATCCACACACTGTGTATTGTTAGCCCTGCTTTGTAGGAAGCATCTTGCCAGCTTTAATTTTACATCTCCATAGTATGAATGAAGAGTGCTGTGTAATTCAGTCAAGGATAATCTGACAACTCAGAAAATGACAGTTAAGGCTCAAAAAATGACAGCGGTTATTTGCCGCTATATATTGGTTATATGTAACTTGTTTTGATCTTTACAGGGCCTCACAGCCAAGAATTTGTCTTGAGTCTCAGATGTGACTTTGGACTTGGACTTTTGGGCAATCTGTAACTGTTAAGATTATTTAGACTCTTGGATATGAACTAAATGTATTTTGAAAAAAAATATAATGATTGTAATTATGATGATGAAGTTAGTAGCAAAGCCTAAGGATCCTAGGATAGTACCCTCTTCCCATACCACCCTATGGTCCAATGAGCTACCAGGAAAAGGTTCTTCAGCTTAGGAAGGTTGATTCCCAGGGTGGATTCTAGCTGGTTTCCCCGAAGCTCCAGGGTGTGCAGACTGTTCAGCTTTTGGGGGTCAAGACCGGTCACCATGTGGATGTGGTTCCCTGGGAAAAAGGAAGGTGTCAAGAATTCAAAGGGCCACTCTGATTGTTTGGCAACATAGCCTGAATTCGGGGTGCTTATTAATTGTCCTCTCCCTCTAACACAGGGTGGAGAGTGAGAAGGGATAGCTTCAGACTAATGTCTCTGGAGCCCTGGGGCAGGTGGACCAGGTAGACATGTCCACCCAAGCCTTGAGGATCAAATGAAGAGTGTCCAAGCAATCTACTTATATACTCCCTCTCCTCAAGTTTTTGTTTAAATGTCATCTTCTCAATGATGCTTGTTCTAACCAAACTATTTAAAATTGCCCCCATCCCCCTTTTCTGATCTTTTCCACTGCATTTATCTTTTATAAATTGAACCCACTGAGCTATACTTCCAGCATTTTTTTTTTTAATTTGGAAACAGGATCTTGCTAAGTTGCCCAGGCTGGACTCAAACTTGCAATCCACTTATCTCAGTCACTGGAATTACAGGAATACATCACCATGCTCAGATAATTTTATTTTTTTATAGTTTATTGTCTGTCTCCCCCAACTAGAATGTACGCTACACAAGAATTGGAATATTTTTGGAGGGTACTAGGGATTTAACCCAGAGGTGCTTTATCACTGAGCTACATCCCTAGCCCTTTTCATTTTTAATTTTAGACAGGGTCTCACTAAGTTACTTAAGGCCTTGCTAAATTGCTGAGGCTGGCTTTGAACCTGTGATCTCCTGCCTCAGCCTTGCAAATTGCTGGAATTATAGGGGTGAAATTTATGTTTTGTTCACTGTTATATCCCCAACACAAAGAACTGTCATGATGAATTATAATGAGGTTTTTTTTTTTTTTTTTTTTTTTGTACTGGGGATTGAACTCAGGGGCACTCAACCACTGAGCCACATCCCCAGCCCTTTTTGTATTTTATTTAGATACAGGGTCTCACTGAGTTGCTTAGCAGCCTTGCTTTTGCTAAAGCTGGCTTTGAACTCTCAATCCTCCTGTCTCAGCCTCCCAAACCACTGGCGTGAGACACTGCATCCAGTCATAGTGAGCTTCTTGATGTATGTGTGTGTGTGTGTGTGTGTGTCTGTGTGTGTCTGTGTATGTGTTTCTGGTGCTGGGGATGAATCCAGGGCATCATGCATGCTAAGCAAGTGCTCTTCCACTGAGCTACCCCTACCTCTGCAAATGCCTTAATGAATAAAAGAATGAATGAATGAAGAGTGCTGTGTAATTCAGTCAAGGACAATACTGCCCTTCTATCAGACCCAGACTAGGAAGGAAAGAATTGGCCCAGAAATGTAGCTCAGTGGTACAGTGCTTGTCTAGCATGCTTTAGGCCGTGGGTTTAATCCTCAGTACCAAAAGAAAAAAAAAAATGAAGGGAAGAATCTTGTGTAGCCAATCCTAAGAACCCACCTTTGAGATCTAGACTTCTTAGACGAGGATGAGAGATGCCCTCAGTATCAGTGATCTGGTTGTAGGCAAAACTAGCAATTTGCAGGTAGGGTAGTTCATTCAGTCGGGCAGTCCGAAGCTGATTGCTATCAGCCTTAAGCCACAGCAGGTGAGTGAGGAAATTGAGTGGAGACAGGTCAGTCAGGTGGTTCTCAGAAATATCCACATAGCGCAGATGGATGTAGGAGTGCAGCAAGTTAATATCTGTCAGGTCCCTAGGAGATGGCAGAGGAAGGATTAGAGGCAAGAACACAGCTAGAACAGGCAGAGGTGCTAAAGCACAAGGCAATATGGAGATGGCTTATAATGGAGTGATTAGGTGACAGGAGAGGGAAGAGAAGATAGAGGAGGTTTTTTTGTTTTTTGTTTTTTTCGGTGATGCCAGGGATCAAACACAAGTGTTCTACTACTTAGCTACATAGCCAGCCCAGTACATGAGTCATTAACGGAGGGCAGAGACTGTATCTTTGAAGAGTTGAGATCTACACTCTGAAGGACAGGTGAGGAAGTCCAGCAACAACATCTCCAATATCCTGTCAGGCTACATTTCTCCAAGGTGAATTTTATTCCTTAGTTTTGTATCAATGGGGTCCAATCCAAGGCCTAGGGCCCATGTTAGGCAAGCACTCTGCCACTGAGCTATACCTCCCACCCCTAGGAAGACTTAAGAGATCCTAAAAAGTAAATTCCATCTTTCCCTCCCCATTAGTTCAGGATGAGAGAGATCCAAACTTTCAGTCCAAATACCCAGGAATGAGAGTGGGAAAGCAGATAGGGCCCTACAATGTCTTAGTCCATATCTGGTCCCTCATAAACGCACCTGTCTTTAAGCTCAAGCTTAACATAAGCATGAGCCAGTCCATTGCCAGTCTTACACAGCAAAGAAAGCCCTTCCTTCATCATGTTCTCAGTGAGGGGGACCGGCATCCACTGCAGGAGGAAGTAAAGTGAGACATCCCTTTCCAGCCCACCCCAGCCCTAGGACCCTCCCCTTGTAGGCTCTCACTTCCTCGGAGAACTCTTCCCCCTCCTTCTTGTAGTCCTCCCACTCCTCTGTCTCCTTCTCATCTTCTTCTTTTTCCAGATCTTCCTGGTCTGGCTCTGACTCTGGCTCAAAGTCATCCAGATCATCCTCATCTGACATCGTTCTCCCCGCTGGAAGATTCTGGAATCAGATCAAGCTCAGTCCTTGTCCTGAGAAAGAAAGACTTGGCTTCCACCAACCCTCAACTCCCTGGCCTCCATGGACATGTACCCGGCCTATCACCCCTGCCCTTCCAACTGAACTTCTTCCCTCATCCTGTGAATATTTCGTTTTGACTTCCAACACCCATTTCATACATACCACCAAGGACTCCTCTCCTTTCAGAATGCCTTCCTGGACCCCCAGATTTTTCCTGCCCTTTGCAGTGGCTCCAACTCTCCAGCAGACCAGTTTCCCTGTTTCCTGGACTTCCCTCTCCCCACTTCTTCCACCTTCCCCTTCAATCAAGTCCTATTCAATCTTCCCTACCAATTTCTCCTCCTCCCCTCGGTTACCTTCACCTCCCCTCTTCCAACTCTAACCCCCCTGCATTGGTTACAAATAACTTTGCCTCTCAGTTTAGCCCCATTCCCCTGACTCTTCTGGAACATCAGCCTGACGTGCAGTCTTCAACCCTCCAAACTAATCCCCATTCGCAAAGGGGTGCTGACCCCGGTTCTGCTCAACTAGAAGCAGTTCTGGAGAGGGTCTTGAATCTGAGAAGGAAGGATTGTTTTGGAAGAGGCGCAGGGTGGTTAATAGGGTTGTGTACTGTTGTTATGGCAACGCAAGGCGGGCGGGGAGGGGGCACTTGGCTACCGCAATCCGCAACCGTTCAGTAAAAAGCACAGACCAACTGAACTGCAAATCCGCTGGAGGGGGTGGATCAGTAGTTGCCTAGTTACGAAGCCACTTTCCCAGTCCCAGGAGCCCGGATGAAGCACAGAAAACGTCGTGTAGTTAATTGCCGGAGGTCGTAAAACAGTGGGAAGGGTTTAGAACAGTACAGAGAGGCGGGAGGGAGGAGGGGCTAGCCATTACGTCATCTAAGACCTTAAAGGGACTGGATTTTTTTTTTTTCTTTTTAGTTGTAGATGGACACGATATCTTTTTTGATTTATTTATTTTTATATAGTGCTGAGGATCGAACCCAGTGCCTCTGCCACTGAGCCCCAGCCCTAGCCCCGGGACTGGATATCTTTGATGCAAAAGCACTGTGAATTCCGAAGAAACTCATCCCTAAAAGCAAAAGGGACAGGGACGGTATACAAGGAGAAGAAATACCAAGATAAATGGTCTAATTCCCCCAAAGTCTCGCCCATTAATTTTCAGGTAGACTTTTGGAAGGAACCTTGTCAAGGCGTGTTTGTTTTCTGGAGTTTGTTTAATCTGGTTTGGTTTGGTTTGGTAGGGGATTGAAAACAGGGGTGCTTTACCACTAAGTTATATCCCAGCCCTTTTCATTTTTTTATTTGGCGACAAGGTCTCACTAAATTGACAACTTGTGAAGTACACAAGTGCATAAGTAACTCAATATAATGAGAAAGAAAACAGGGTTAAAAAAAAGAAAATATGCACTGAGAAAGATGTTATAATGATAGCCAATACAGTAGAATTTTTTACTAATTGTCGGTTGTTTCGTTGTTGTTTTTGTTTTTATTTTTGTTTTGTGGTACTGTGGATTGAATCCAGGATCTCCTCCATGCTAGGAGATAATTTCATAATCCATCATATGTTTAGGCAGAGAAAGCACATGTGGTACCTGTGCAAGGAAAGCAGGTGGTTCTACTGGGTGAACAGTTAAGTTTGTGTGGGAGCAGGATGAACTAGGAGCAAGGAACAGATCACAGTGAGAAATCTGGACTTTTTCCTGGAAGCTGTAGGGAGTCACTGAAGACTTTGTCTTTAGCTGGAAAGGACTGACTGTAACGAATGCTATAGAGTCCATGATATCCTTAATGTTCTTCCTCCAACGATTGATCTAGATAGAATCTACTTCAATTACAAAAGTAATATTTATTTTAAATAAAAATGCAAGTTGGGACTAGGGTTGTGACGCAGCAGTAGTGAGCTTGCCTAGCATGATGCTCCATGGCCTGGCTTCTAGCACCACAAAAACAAACAAACAAAAAGCAAATTCAGAAGCATATATAGAAGAACATGATTTCCCACAGCACCATTCTCCTTTGAATAAAGATCAAAGCCAAGCCAGGGCAGTGGTGCATGCCTATAATCCTAGCAGATCAGGAGGCTGAGACAGAAGGATTTTGAGTTAAAAGCCAGCCACAGCAATAATTTAGGGAGGTCCTATCTCTAAATAAAATATTAAAAAGGACTGGGGATGTGGCCCAGTGGCTAAGCGCCCCTGGGTTCAATCCTTGGTACCAAAAAAAAAAAAAAAGACCAAGATATCAAAGTCAGGTGTGATAGTACACACCTGTAATCCCAGGGACTAAGGAGGCTGAGGCAGGGCAGGAGGATCACAAGTTCCAGGCCAGCCTCAGCAATTTAACAAGACCTTAAGCAATTTAGTGAGAACCTCTCTCAAAATAAAAAAGGGCTTGGGATGTGTAAAGTGCCTCTGGGTTCAATTTTTATAAAACAAATCGCATCAATCATAAATACTGTTCATCAACAGGATTTTTTTTTTTTTTATTTAATCATGCCTTGAGCCTCTTTCATATCCCTAACCATAGATGTAATCCTAGGAGGCTGAGGCAGGAGGATAGGGAGTTCAAAGCCAGCCTTCACAATTTAGCGAGGCCCTCCCTAAGCAATTTAATGAAAACCTGACTCAAAAATTAAAAAGGGCTGGGGATGTGGCTCCATGGTTAAGCATCCCTGAGTTCAATCCCTAGTCTAAAAAAAAAAAAAAAAAAGTTGATTAGGGCCTCACTAAGTTGCTGAGGTTGTCCTCAAACTTGCAATCTCCTGCTTCAGCCTCCCCAAATCACTGGGATTACAGGCATACATCACACACCCAGTTGTTATGTTTTATTTTGAGACAAAGTCTCACTTTGTTGCCAGGCTGGCCTAGAACTCCTGGGTATAAGATATCCTCCTGCTTCAGCCTCCAGGGAAGCTGGGATTATAGGAGTGAGCCAACATACCCAGTTTATTTTTTGGCAATTATGAATAATGCAGCTATAAACATTCATGTACAAGTTTTTATGTGGGCATATGTTTCCATTTCTCTTGGTTATATATCCAGGAGTAGAATTGCTAGAGCATATGGTAATCCTGTATTTAGCCTTTGGAAGAACTCCCAAACTGTTTTCCAATGTGGCTGTACCATTTACAATTCCACCAGTAGTGTTTGAGGATTCCCATTTCTCCAGGTTCTCTCCAATAGTTATCTATTTGATAATAGTCATCACAGTGGATGTGCAGTAGTATCTCATTGTGGTTTTTATTTGCATTTCTCTAATGGCTAAAGATGATGAGCATATTTTTATGTCCTTTTTAAAAATTTTTTTTCTTTTTTTTAGTTGTCAATGTACCTTTATTTTTATTTATATGTGGTGCTGAGAATCGAACCCAGTGCCTTACATGCTCAGCAAGTACTCTACCACTAAGCTACAACTTCAGCCCATATGTTTATGTTCTTATTGCCCACTTGAATATCTTCTTTGGAAAACTTTCTATTCTACTTATTCTTATTTATTTATTTATTTATGTGGTACTGTGGATTTAGCTCAGAGAGACTTAACTACTGAGTCTTCTTTCTTTCTTTTTCTTTTTTTTTGGGGGGGGGATTGAACTCAGGGGTACTCGACCACTGAGCCACATTCTCCAGCCCTATTTTGTATTTTATTTAGAGACAGGATCTCACTGAGTTGCCTAGCGTCTCGAAGTTGCTGAGGCTGGCTTTGAACTTGAGATTCTCCTGCCTCAGCCTCCTAAGCCTCTAGGTGTTTTTTATTTTGAGACAGGTGTTAGACCAGGACGCAAGAAAAGACCACTGACTCCAATTAAAATCAAATTAAAGCAAGCTTATTATTTCGACCGGCCGGGCTGCCTCTCCCTCCCAAAATGGCGGGAACAAGACAGCACCCCACCTTTCCTACAGCCCAGCTTTATAGCCCAGAAAGTTACACAAAAGGGGGGTTACAAATAACAGAACTCTGACAAGCATCACACTAATGGTAGTTTACTTTTTTTTTTTTTTGCTGGCCCCAACATCAGAATTTATGAGGACCATTAGAGCCTCAGAGAGGGTTGTTGTCTGGCCAGGGAAGGCCAATATTTATGAGGTGTCACTAAGTTTCAGAGAGGGCTGCTATCTGGTCAGAGAGCCAGGCATGGGTGAGTTCAAGGCATGGGCAGGCATTCCAAGCAGGTTCAGAATTTGCAGTAATTTATAGTAAAGCCGAAATTATCTTTTCATGGTTTTGTGGCGAGATGCCCAATTTTAAGAAAAGATCAGGTTGGGTCTATCACAGGGTCTCAATAAATTGCTGAGGCTGGCTTTAACTTAAGATCCTCTTGCCTCAGTCTCCCAAACCACTGGGATTACAGGTGTACGTGAGCCACCTTGCCCTGCCTAACAGACATTTTATACTATTTGGTCAACACTGTGCCCAAATAAAAAACATTTCTCAACTGCCATAAGTCAATGATGTACCTATTAATGAAAGTCATGGGCAAAACTTCCAGAAAACCCTTCTCTCATTTGCTTCCTGTCTGAAATGTGATGGCTGGAGTTCCAGCAGCAATATGGGGAGAAAAACTAGAGAAATTAAGCCACAGTTAAGATGCCAGAATAAAAATGGAGAGCAACCTGGGTTATGGAAGAGAATGTGAAGATGTCATACCAATTCTGAACTGCCAATCTTCCAACTTATATTTTTGTGAGAAAGAAAAACAAAATCATTAAGCCACTGGGCTTGAGGGAATCTCTGCTGTAGCTAAATGTAATTCTTAAGTGATTACAGAATTTGTAACATTATCCCAAAATTTATGATCTTAAAACAACATTTTTATCTGGGTATGGTGGTGTACTTTTGTAATCCCAGTGGCTGGGGAGGCTGAGGGAGGAGGATTGCAAGTTCAAACCCTGCCCCAGGGATGGGGTTGTGGTTCAGACGTAGAGCACTCACCCAGCATGCATGAGGCACTGG